CATATCAATGGAATGCTCTTTCCTCCAAATCCAGGAATTTACCAAAAGCTAAACTGAGGAGGATGATGAGGTTACTAAAAAGGGAAAAATTGAGAAGTGCAAAAAACTCGCTGACCTAGAAAGTGAAATGTTTGAGTGGTTTTGTCAAATTAGAGTAGATATCATTCCTATTTCTGGTTCTTGTTTGAAAGGGAAGCCAATAAAATTGCCTTAAAGAGGAAAAGTGTCCCAGTGAAGGGTTCTAGCCCTCTAAATCTAACATCTAATGATGTGACAACAGCGTTTCTATTTGCTGAAAACCAGGCAACTGCTACTGTTGTTACAACTGGAAAAGATTGGCAGTGAAAGTAGGAAGACAATTCTGGATAAATACCACCCTAGGAATATATTCAGCACTCTAAATAAAATTGTCTCTGCCTCAATTTGCAGCCTGCGAAATAGGTTTCTTGTTTTGAAGAATACGACTCACTCTAGAAGGGGATTGTCTAAGAATGACTCAGAGAAATTTAAGGCAATGGAATGCAGAAATTTCATACAGCCCCACTGTGAGGTTTCTGGAACCAGGAAACATCTGGTTATAGGGAGATCCAGACAGTCTGGAGAGGTAGGTGAGTCTCCTTTCCTTGATGCACATCATCGTGCTGTCCCGTGGAGATGAGTTTCTATCATCTCTGATCACAGCCAGATTCAGTTCTGAAACTTTACTCAGCAACTTGAACCACAGGAAAATAGAAAATCTGATAGTGGTTGTCAGGGAAAGCAGGATGTTTTGTCTTCCATGTTCCTGACTACCCTCCGCTCTTTCTGTGACCTAGTGAAAGTAACGGAAAGAGCAAAGGATTTGCAATGAGAAGCCTTGCTGTGCAAACCACAGAGGCACCCTTTTGGCAAAGAGGCATCCTCGTTTTTCACAATGTTGAAACTGCCCAAAAGATATCATTAGAACAAATCCATAAGCACCTGGGAGTAAGAATTATATTCCATTCAGAATTTTATCCCCAGGACTTATTACTCTGCCTAGAACCAAGAAACACTCAGCGAATGTAGACTGAGTGGATACTTGAATGAAAGATATACACACGACAGAGTCAAATTTCACACAGCCTCCAGAATTGATCAGAAGCAGATATTTTCAGCACTTGTCAGTCTGATCTGCCAAAATCTGCAATCAATCTCTGTTTCATACACCAGAGAGACAGGCTGAAGCTGGGAACTGGAGTCAGCACAGTAACCAAACATGGGAACTCTCCTTTTGCATCTAACATGTTGAATTTTTGCTGAGCTATTAAAAGAAGAACTAGGGTTCATTTGCTTATTCATTCAAAAAACGTGTCTTCCTGCTAACTCCATCATCTCTGTGAAATCCTGAGGTGATGTTCAGATGGGGAGAATTACTACAGTCTATCCAAATCTGTGATTCTAAAGGGACCAAGCTCCTATAAGACTCTGTAGGGTTGAGTAGGTAGGTCTTGATTCCGTGCAGGCGTCTAGTGCCCCTCACACGATGAGGAACGTCAGTGTAACATACTAAGCTCCAGTACAGGAGAGCGAGCTGGGATCAGCCTGCAGTCTCTGCTTATTTTCACCTAAACCCTCACCTCTCTGGTTATTCTCATTTCTTTCTCTCCTGTTTCTCCTTTGATACCAACCAGGCTCGCAATCTCCAACCCGAGCTCTAGCTGAGACGTTGCTGTGCCCACACTGGGTGGCCAGATGACTTCTCTTGCCTCTCACGATTTTCCTGATCTTGTCAGTAGCCCACTCTGGGCTGCCTGGACAAACAATTCTATGTCACCACTGTTGCTGAAGCCACCATGGCCCTGGAACCAGTTTGCCTACGTTTTAAATCTATGTTGGCCCATGGCCCACTGAGTGGTCAAGGGCTAAACATGACTAAATGATACCAGATTTAGCCACAAATCGGTAAGACCAAACATGCACTTTTACAGTCTCTTTATTCAATAACGACGTTACTAACAATTACTTTAAAATTTTTATTATGGAAAATGTCAAACATATATAAAAGTAGAATGGGATAGCAACCTTCCGTGCACCCATTAGACAGCTTCACAATTACTTTCTAAGTTTATGAGTATAAAAATAGTTGCATAACTAGCAAATCCTCTCCATACTGCATAATTACGTTTTGACTAAAGCCGTATTTGCAACTTGGCAGTGTTGGCAGGCCTGCCTTTCAAGATCATATTCTGCCTCACACAGTTATTATAGTGGACCATTCCTCCCAGCAGACTTAGTCTGAACTGCTTAAGCAAATCTACCCAAGACATTATGTTTGCTCCTTTTCTTAAAAATAGAAGGTGATTTGAAAGGTCATAAAAATGTTCATTCATCGGGTCGGTCCATGCAGTTATCCTTTTTGTCCCTGATAGCAATTTGGCAGGAGAGCATGTTTATTGCCTCTGATTTCAACCATAAAAAGACCAGGGAGGTAACACAAACCATGCCAGCCTCCCTTCATAATTAATTACGGTCCATGCATGACTTTATCTAAACATTTTTTGAAGCCGTTTCTATTTCTAGTCTGTTCCAGTTCTGAAGAAGCCTGGTAGAGGCTGTGGAGATAACAGAATAGAATCAGGTCAGTGGGCAGACAATTAAATACACAGACATGCATTTTACCCCCATAGACACAACTTGGGTTAAAGGGAGTCCGAAGCCAAGCGGCTGAATTAGCAGTTAAACCAGCACAACTTTCTCTTTATTACTAAACAGCTTATCACCCAAACCATAAATCCTCACACAGTCAAAGGTGAGTGCATTTTTAAAAAACTAAGGTTACTGTAAGGTATTTTATAACCCACGGTACAATCTAGGCTTGTGGAGATAAGGTATATATATATAAATATATACACGTATGAGCTCTTCCCATCCTTAGCTCCAATATCCTTAGTCTGGACATTTATCTTTATTAAGTTAAAGATGAATATTATGTGTGTATGTATATATATATTCATATAATATGTGATGTACATATATTTTTAAGGTAAAATCAGACATACTTGCTGAGTTGCATTGTCTTGAGGTTAAAATGTAATTCTGAGGCTGATGAATTTTCATCTCCAAACAGCTCGTTAGTTTTACAAACAAAACCTTTAACTCCACACTGAGGCTGCTCTGCATCCCTTCCCCCACCTCTTCCTTTTCCTAATGCATCGTGTATTCGTCTTTAGTGGGATGAGGTGCAGGAGGAAAGGGCTGCCAGGAGATAAAACCGGATGACTGTGGGCATAATTCAGTAAGGGAAAAATTCAAAAGGCATAACATTTTTGAAAATGAGTTCTAAGAGACGTCATATATAAAACACAAACATTTGTGTATTCTATGTAATCACTTTTTGCATAACTTGAATTAGAAAAAATGTAGTATAAAAATACTAATATGGTCCCATCCAGTGGCCTAGTGATCAAGTTTGGTGCACTCTGCTTTGGTGGCCTGGGTTTGGTTCCCAGGCCTGGACCCACACCACTCATTGGCAGCCACGCTGTGGTGGCGACCCACACACAAAATAGAGGAAGATTGCACAGATGTTAGCTCAGGGCAAATCTTCCTCAGCAAAAAGAGGAAGATTGGCAACAGAAGTTAACTCAGAGTAAATCTTAATCAGCAAAAAAATAAGTAAAATAAAAATATTTTATTTTTTAAATACAATATAAATAAAATAAATATAAAATATAAGTAAAATAAAAATTAAAAAAAATCTTGCTTTAAGAACAAATGTTATGTACTACGAATTTCCCCAAATCAAAAATTTATTCATCATAACCTGTGTTTATGCTGTTACCACTTAACAGTAATGTTTTTGGATACATCAAAATAAGCGTCATCCATCATCAGGTTTAGTCTTGAATCGTGTGAGTTTGAACAAGATCCGAAAGCATCCCTTGAACCAAGTGCACAGTGTATTGTCAGCAGATGCTTTTCCTTGAACAGTGCTTGGTTTTCTGAGCTGACTCACTGAATTTCTCTCCTGGAAGCCACAGGCGATTCCTTAGGGGCCAGAGGAGAGCAGACTGTCTGCCCAGGTGCTAACTGGGGCACAATCAGGCAGAAGACAAAACTGAGTGATGGAGGAAGGGCAGTATTGCAGCTTAATCATAGAAGGAACTGTGACTCTGCAGCTGTCAAGTACGCTCTAGGACAGAGACTCTATGCCCCAAGGCAAAGAAGAACGAAGGGCTGTTTCCTTTATCCATCCTGGGAGACTTGCTGTGCCGTCTGATGGCAGGACAGTGGAAGGCATTGCCTCTCTCTTGTCGTGGGAGGGAGATTTGCACTTGTGTTCCTTTGCCTGAAATGTTCTCACCTCCAAGAAATGGCTCCTTGTCCTGTAGATGTCAGCTCTTCCCCAGGGAAGCCACTCCCAGTCTAGGCTCTTTAAGCTAGGCAAAGAACCCAGGTAATAGACCATTTACACTGTCGTAAATGCTTCAGCATGCACAATGTGTTTGTCTTGATCTCCATCTTGAGCATGTTTAATTCATAGTTGAGGGACCTTAGTCTGAAACACACATGCAAGGTGTGGTTGGTTAGCATGGAAAAGCCCTAATAAAAAAATGTACCCTCCAGAGGCAGCTACACAAAGCCTTCAACTATCTATCTCTGATCCTCCCGAGGGTTTGATAATCAGCAAATTGCATTTTTTAAAGTAATTTTTCATTGGTTTAATGAGTGGCATATAGAAAAAATGGATTGGCTAGAAATCTCGTATACCCTCTCTAGCCTTCACCAAAATAGGGTAAAGAATTGAGCAAGTCCAGTAGCATAAACTCTTCAGAAAGGTGCCTTAGGTGTAGGAGTCCATCTGGTTCTGCTTCCAGAGGATGCTGACACTGGAATCCTGCTGCTGGAACGTCACATTCATTTCAAGTGAGGTTTTTTTTTTCTTTCTTTTTTTTTTTTAGGGAGATTAGCCCTGAGCTAACATCTGCTGCCAGTCCTCATCTTTTTGCTGAGAAAGGCTGGCTCTGAGCTAACATCCATGCCCATCTTCCTCTACTTTATATGTGGGACGCCTGCCACAGTATGGCTTGCCAAGCGGTGTGTAGATCCAAGGCCGGGATCTGGGCCGGGGAACCCGGACTGCTGAAGTGGAATGTGGGAACTTAACCACAGTGCCACCTGGCTGGCCCCTCAAGGGAACTTTTAATAGAGCACCCACAAGCCTTGCTGCTGGAAGTGTGGTCTGAGGATGGGAACATCAGTCATACCCAAGAACTGGCTGGAAGTGCAGACTTTCAGACCCAACCCCAGGTCTTCTACATCCTACCAAAGTCCAGAGTGATTTCTGTGCACATTGACACTGGAGAAGCAATGCCCACATTTACGGAGTGAAGCCTGGAACTTCATCAAGCTTACAGACCAAGCTGTATGAATGCATTACTTTTTCTTTTTGTATGCCAGCATACTGATACCTATTGGTGTGACAGAATTCCATCTGAGGCTTATTGTCACTGTAATTAACACCTGGTTGTGAGGAGGTGAGTGGAGATAACTGCAGACCTGGCCAAAGTTAATTTTTGAAGCCCACCGTTATCTACCGTAAATAACCTTATCATCGTGAACTATCAAATTGCCCGGGTCAGTTTGCAGCTCTCTCTTTCTCTGGTCTGTCTCAGTTTGTGATCTTACATTCCATGTGTGATTATTTAGTTAATGTGTGCCTCCCTTATTATACTGTGGGCTCCAAAGGGCAGAGACAGGTTTTGTTTTTTCACTTTTACCTCTCTAGTCAAGTGTCTAGCACTGGTACTAGCGGACACAATAAATATTTGTTGAATGAATATTGTTGAAGGAAGGGAATGTTTATAATTTTCTGAGCAGGCAAGGGAAAATGCATTTAAGCTTTTATGGGCTTTAGAGCTTCAAACTGACTCTTGGGTGCTGAATAAATAACTTCCATTGGGATTTGCCCCTCAAAATCCAAACAAACATTTCCCAAACTCCTATCTCGTGTCCCTCTAGTGCACTACAGTGAAGCTCAGAGGTGGAGAACTGGTTATAAAAGCATTTTCCTTTTCTTTTTTTTATTTTTTCTCTGTTCTTTTTGCTTATCTTTATCTGGTTGAAGCTTGCTAATCAGGTATGTACAAGTTTAATAATCGTGGAATGCATAACCACAATGTTAAAAGGAACACTGGCAAATTATTTCATGACTTCAGTCCATTGTTCTGGGCTCAGAGTGGCAGACAGCCATTTTACCAGAGGGAGAAAAACTAGCCAGTGGTGACATACATATGCCTTCTCCCAACTCCAGTCTTGTGAAACAGAAAATCTTATCAGAAATATGTAATCAATTTAAGCTTATTTTATGCAAATTATACCCTATTAAGGAAGCCTGTGAACAAAATCTCCAAAAACAAGATTCTGCAGACTTTTTTGGCACTGCTGTGATAGACAGTACTAAATGCGAGCAGACTTGCATGTTTAAAATATCGAATGATGGGGGAAAATATAAAATTAATTATCTCAGTGAGAAAAAAACTGTCAGACAGATAATTTATTAAAAACTATTTTGGAAAATTGTTACATAAAACATTTCTAAATAAGAGCAATTGATCTATCTAATAATAGGGATTAGAACTGTATCAAAATGGTGACGAATTAAGATTTATGTTGAGCTCCAATTCGAACAATAGATGAAATAGATTGTACCTATAATACACAATTGATTGCTCGTGGCAATCTCAGGCCATCACACACACATATATGTATCTCACACACACCCATAATATATATGTATATATATTATATATACGCATATATATCCCATTGGTTCTGTTTCTCTACATATGGTCTACTCCAAGAAAGATCTTACCTAGCGCTACCTTCATCATTTTTAGGACTGAAGATTCCTTCCTGTATTCAAAACCACGTGCATAAGGAAAGAAATATGCAGGAAAGAAATCCGTACACTGTAGTAATACGTGGATGAAGTGATTGAAATGGTTAAGTAAGTGATACTGTATTATTAAAACATAATATTTTGTTTAGTCTTTCAACCTCACATAGGGAACTTACCATTAGAAAAGTACGAAGTTGTAAGATTTTACTGCTTAGAGATATTTATGCACATAGATCCCTGAAATGGAAAGGCATGCATTTTATCACCCTGCACCTATAACTCAAAACTGTTGAATAGATTTAGTATTTTTAGAATGAATTAAGGCCACACATAGGCAATTTAAACCCCAAAGCTTGTGGTTTCAATAAGGAATGAGGAGAATAAAATGGTGATGATGGAAAAGCTTCTGCACAGCGCTGGGTTGTGCGCTCTTACTCTGAAAGAGAGAGGATGCGTAACACAGAAGTATGATTGACACTAAGAATGGGGAAAGAAAGCAAAGTGAAAAGATGGACAGCAGACAGGAGGCTTTCAGCTTCCTGGAGCCCAGGTCTTTCTTATCCTCGAGTGGAGATGGTCCACAGTATAGATCCGTTCTTGGGACCCCAGGGTGGAAGAGATTGCCTTTGTTCCAGTTTCCTCATCTTGCTATTTCTGAGCCTGCAAATGCCATAACCAAAGAAAGTACATTCTAGTCCTTCTCCCAGTCTTAGTTGCTCAAGTCGAAGAAGGGATGGCTCAGTTCTTCTACTGCTTTGTTACTTTGCATGTAGAGCTTCACAGCCACGTGGACTAAGGAACTGGAAAAGAAGCTGGTCTCACTCTTTTTCTCCTTCGTGCACGTTTCCATTTTTTACTTCCCAGGAGAGCACTCCTGCTCATTTGGGATATTGCAAATAAATGTTTCAGAGCCTTCAAATAGAATCTCTGTAAAATAAATTATTTTCAGGGTAGCAGAGTAATCTTAGAGAAAGAAGACCTACGTTCTAACTTTATCCATTTAACTTAAACAAGTCGTTCGATAAATGTTTGTATAATGTCTTCCCTACGCAAGACATTGACATAAAGACCAAGCTCACAAAAATGTTAATAACAAAGATGACAAGGAGATCCAAGGAGAGAAAGCACACAGAAGTAATTACAACATAATGAGATGTTTGCTACACACTAGATCGCAGGTAGGAGGAAGAAGAAAGCAATCATTTCTGCTTGAGTCAAGAGGAAAGGCTTTGCTGCAGAAGATACAATTTAGTGGGGATGTTATCACAGTCTCTCGAGGCCACGCGCTCTACCATGAAGCTTACATGTAGCCTCTGGAATATTTCTTCTTCTACCTCTCATTCTCTTCTGGGTGTCTCTTTCCTCTGCCATCTTCCAGTCCTGGTCCTTTTTCCTTTTTCCTTTTCTCTCACATCTCTTCTTTCTCTTCGAAAGTTTGCATCAATATCAATCGTGCATCCCATATCTGAGATAATAACTGTATGCCTTTTCTTAAATGTTGACCTGCTTTGTCACATATTCACATGGATATAATTTTACAGAAAAGCAAAATGCAATCTGCACAAACAAAAACAAACTTCATTTGTTTTCATCCGTTTTAAAGCCATGTTGTTGCCCCCATTTTTCTTGCTTGGCAATTCCATTTGCCCCAAACCCACAGGTAATACCTACACCTGTGCAGTCCTACATATTTTCCTCATGATCCTATAATCACACACACACATACATTCATATACATAGCTACATGTTTTCTTTCTCATTGCTTGTTTTATAAAAATGAGATTATATCATGCACACTTTTCTCTATCTTGTCTGTCTCATTCAAAAGTTCTCATGGAAATTCCTAAATCTCCTAGTCGAGTTTCAAGTTGTTGTTTTTAATACTATATAATACTGCATAGTATAGATAAGCAATGCTTTTGTCAGTCATTATTATAAAAACAAGAACTTTGCCTCCTGATTCTTTTTAATACTTTTTTTTTAAAATTGGCCCTGAGCTAACATCTGTTGCCTATCTTCTTTTTTTCTTCTTCTTCTCCCCAAAGCCCCCCAGTACATAGTTGTATATTCCAGTTGTTGGTCCTTCTAGTTCCTATATGTGGGACACCACCTCAGCATGGCCTGATGAGTGATGACAGGTCCAAGCCCAGGATCCAAACCAGTGAAATCCTGAGCTATCAAAGCAGAGTGCGTGAACTTAACCACTCGGCCAAGGGGCCAGCCCCTGCCTCCAGATTTTTGCTACAATAAGTGTTGATATTATATATCCCCAGATATTTTTATTTCTTCGGTATGCATTCCCAGAAGTTGAATTGTTAGGTCAAGAAACAAACACACACACACTCCATTTTAATAGTTATTGCCAGGCAGGTTGCTTTCCAAAAATGTTTTAATTCACACCACTAATGTGTGAGAAAATACTCTTTCTTATTCCTGTCAGCAACAGATGTTTATAGTTTTTTCAATCTTTAGGAGTTGCTTCCTTCTTTTTTTTGACTCTATTTAAATTTTGAATATATAAAACATACATGATTCCAAAGTCAAAACTATACTACTGATTGCGTTCAGAGAAGTCACATTTCTGTCACTGTCCTCTCCGTTCTGTTTCTTCCTTCTCCTATGGGTAATAATTTTTTATTCATTTTTAGTTAATTCTCTGGTATTTCTTTTTCAGCTATACTTATTGACATTTACGTTTATACTTTTAACTCCTTTTCTTACACAAAAAGGAGCATATCATATCTATTTATCTGTACTTAGCTCTTTTCCCTTAAATTATGTCCTGGTTCTCAAGCCACTTGAATGCATAAAGACCTTCCTCATTCTTTTTTTATAGTTACACAATATTACATTGTATGAATGCACCATAGTTTATTCAAGCAGTCTCCAATTGATGAACATTGGGGTGGATTTCAATCTTTGCTACTATAAAAAATGCCACAGTGAATAATCTTGAGCATAAGTCATTTCATATTTCTCCACTGTATTTTTAGGCTAGATTCCTAGAAGTGAGATTGCTGAGAAAAGGATAAATGCATATACAATTTTTCTAGATATTTCCAAATGCCCCTTCATAGGGATTGCATGACATTGTGTTCCCACAAAAAATATGAGAGTGACTATTTCCTCACAGCCTTGACAAATTTCTTCATTTCCAAATTTTTAGATTTTCATCAGATTGACACATGAGAAATGACAATATAATTTAATTTGTATTTTCTCCTATTATCAATGAGATTAATGAACTTTTCATATGTTTAAAGGCCATTTACAATTATTTTTTCTGTGAATTACTTATTCATATATTTTTCCCATTTTTCTATTGGGTTATTGGTCTTTTTCCCCTCAATTTTAGTAGCTGTTTTTATTTTAGTGATAATAGTCCTTTGTGTAAATTGAAAATATTTTAATTTATTTTTTTACTTTGCTTATGGTGATTTTAATCATGCGAAGTTTTTTTTATTTTTTATGTAATTGAACCTAATTATTGTAAGCTGCTGATGGCTTCTGAGTCATAGTTGGCAAATATCCCTCCTTCCGGTTTACACAGGATTCATCTATGCTTGTTTCCAGGAATTGTATGATTTGGACTTTTACATTTGGATCTCCAATCAATTTGGAGATTTTTCTGGTATATAGAGTGAGGTTCAGAACAAATTGAATCTTTTCCCAAATGTCTCAACACCATTAATTAAAAAGTCCAGCTTTTCCCTACAGATATAAAATATCATTTTTATCATATACCAAATCTCCATGTGCACTGGGGTTCCTTCTCTACTATATCCATTTTTCTCCTCATGCACGATTGTCACTCTCGTATAAAGTGTTTATAACTTATCAGACCATCCGACAGGGAAAATCATCAGCTCCACCACTGCTACTCTTATTTTTTAAGAGTATTTATTTATTTTTCATGTAAAATTTAAAACCGATTTGGATAGTGTTAAATTTCTAGAATAACTTAAGGAGAATGAATATCTATGATACTGTGTCTTCTTATCTAAGAACATTGTAGACTTTTTTCCACTTATGCAACTCTAATTTGGGCTCTTTCAGGGATATTTTAAAATTTTTCTCATTTAACTTTTGCACATTTCTTGTTAAGTTTACGACTAGATATCCCCTTTTCTTTGTTGCAGTTATAATTAGGTCTTCTCTTGCATTACTCGTCTAACTTTTGTGTATACAAAACTGTATTGATTTCCGTGCTTTAATTTTATATCCTCCTTTTTCACTACATTCTTTTGTTTGTAACAGTTTTCCCATTATTCTTTTGAGTTTCCCAGATATACAATTTTAAAAGTTTACCTGTTTCTTTCTAATTCTTGTGCATCTGATTTTCTTCTCATCTAATTTCTTTGACTCAGACTTCTAAAACCAGGTTAAATTGTGTCTGTTATATTGGGCATCCTTATCTCGTTCTCACTTTAGCAAGAATGCCCTTAATGTGTCTCCATTAAGAAGCAGGTTTCAGAGATTATACATATGTATCTGAAATTATAGAATAGTATGAAAGTATAGTACAGAAGTGTCTATGATTCCTGTTTTATTTATTTATTTATTTTTGTGAGGAAGATTCACCCTAAGCTAACATCTGTTGCCAATCTTCCTCTTTATTTTTTTTGCTTGAGGAAGATTAGCCCTGAGCTAACGTCTGTGCCAGTCTTCCTCCATTTTTTGTATGTGGGATGCCTCCACAGCATGGCTGATGAGTGGAGTAGGTCTGCACCCGAGATCCAAATCTGTGAACCCAGGCCGCCAAAGCAGAGCATGCAAACTTGACTACTGGGCCTCAGAGCCAGCCCCTGATTCCTGTTTTATTGATTGGTTTTGTCAGGAAAGGGTGTTGAATTTTGTGAAATATTCTTTAGGGACCGATGGAAATGATCTTGATTTTTCCTCTGATATTAATATGAGTTGTTTATATTTTTAATATTATATTTATAGATTATTTATAAATTTTCTAATATTGAAGCATTCCTACATTTTGGAATAAACCCCACTTTGCAATGACGTATTATTTTTAAGGTGTTGTTGGAATCTATCTGCTCATGTTTTTAAAAGATTTTTGCAGTAAGAGCTATAAGCAAGATTAGTTCATGCTTTTT